TCTTCTTGCTTTGTCCAAATCACGCTTCGGTCTGGTGGTAAAGGCTACCTACGGCAAAGAGGACAATTTTGCTGATAAAGCAGTTTAAAAATCTCACTTTGAAGTTTAATTGTATAGTTTGGCCATCTTAAATGTTAAGTCGGACTCCGTAATTGCAAAATCTATATTCACTTTCACTATAGAAACAACTCGAAGTCACCATAATGTCTTACTGGTCATGTTTCCACATGGTTGTTTCCTCTGGGAACTAGTGGGAATGGACGTTTCATTGTATTTATGTTTCATATTGGGGATATTATATTGATCTATATCCAGAACAAATTTTGATTCAACTGACTTCTGAAATTCTGTGCATGTTTTTTTCAAATGATAATGAAAGATCATTCATCTTTAAAAAATATTTTCAAGAAATTTTAGACTAATTTTCTCCCTTTCATTGGTGGGTCTTCAACAGGAGCATAGTTTTTCAAGGTCACAGTCACTTAAATACTTTGAAATAAGATATATATCGTTTCTACTTGAATCATATGTACATCTCTTAGTGTGGCTCCTGCACACGTACTAACCACTGTAGTCACTTAGCCTTTCTTAACATCTATATAAAGTATGTGATAAATATTATAATTAATAATAAGGATTCTAATTTTTTAAGGTTGAAAGAATTAAAGAGAGAGAAATTGCCATGTCAATTGTAAGACAGAGCTAGAAGTTTAAAGAACACAATTTCAATCTAGTCCTCACAGGATAAAAACCAAATTAAAATGCATAATGTTCTCACCTTCCATATCTGCAGACTATTTACATCTTCCATTTCTACCTACTTCCCAGCCCCAAGGAAGCATGGAATATAAAACCTGGAAATGATTTTTCAATAGGCAATATATAAATGTGATTTTTGCTTTATAAAATTAATGGCTACTAAATGTTTGCAGCTATTTTAACTTTTTACATTGCAACCTAAATATTGTATGCACATGGCTAGAAAATTGTATGCTTCAAATTATAAAAGCTTAGAATAAAAAGCAACAGTCTCCTTCTTCAGCTCTGCTTCCCAGAGGCAACCACATTTAACACTTTAATTTTAGGGTTTTAGATGGTTTTATTCCTATTTCTAGTAATATGCTTTTTTCCTACTTTTTTTGATTTATCAATTTTAGACATTTCTGTTCTGCAAGATGAGGATTTAGATCACATGGCCAACTCCACTTGCTGTCATGTCTCCTCCTAATGCTTTTATGACTATTCATAGTTTGACTCTCATCAATTTTGTAACTTCAAGTCTTAAATTTAAATCTTTATTATTTTTTCATCAAGTATAGGAAAAAATATCCTGTCATCATATTTTTGAATATGAAGGCAGTTATACCCTCATCTTTCTTTTTATTTCTTCTCTCAATTTTTGATTCTCTAACAATGTGAACTTTACCTGTTCTTCTACGTTATCATGGTTGGAAACATTTTGTCTTTTCTGTAATCACAGAGCATTTGAAATGTTTGTCAAGTATTCTGTAATTAGCTTATGGACTGATTCTACAAGGTAGCCGTGTTTACATTATTATAACAACACTTATATTGTTCCTTGGGAGCTAAGTGGTGGACTCAGATATATTCCCTTCATCTCCAAGTACAACACCATGTTCCATTTAAAGGAGAATATTACTAGAGTTAAGTTGAAGTGAATACTTTCATATATACATCAATAATTGTCATCACCACGCCCAGTTTTTCCTAGAGGGTCTCATATAATCTATCTATATATCGATTCTGCTTATGTCTGAGACCGCCCTGTGTGGCTGTGTTTCCATTCTGGAGTAACTGTACTTAAGTCCTACTGCACAGCTGTCATTCAGGAACAGGAAGTCACTGTTTTTCTGATCTCATGTCTTTGCTTGTCTTGGTTTATTCACTTATTTTGCTGCAAAAGACCCTAAAGTAACTTCTTAAGAAAGAGTGCATTGTAGGTAAACTTTTGGGAAGTTTGCATATCGGAAAATAGAAAATATCTTTATTCTATCTTCCTCTGATTCCTCTCCCTGAATACGAAGGCCCTGATCACTGTCTTCTAGCATCTAGTACTGACTGGTGATGAGAAGCCCAACTCCAATCTAATTCTTATCTCTTTTCATGTGACCAGCTCATGCTCTTTCTCTGAAAAGTTTCAATTTCAATTTATTCTTAATTTTCTAACATTTCACAGTAATTTTTTTAGAAGCAGATCTTCTTTCATTCATTATAGTGTGCCCCTTTCATCAGAATATTCAGGTTTTACAACTAGGGAGATTCCTGTTTAACTTCTTGGATTATTTTTTCCACTCTCCTATATCTTTCCATATTTTTCTTCCTAATTTCATCTTTTTTGTATTAATTTTGGGGATAACTCTTTTTAAATTACAACCTGTTTATTTTTTAAAATTATACTTTTAATTTCCAATAGTTTTTTTGTGTTTTCTTTTCACAGTACACAGTATACAAAGCTCTCTGAAGATAGTAGTGTCTCCTCTATTCTCTGAATTGTCTCTCTTTTATTGGGGCCCTGGTTTTTATGCACATTTACCTTGATCATTCTTATTGTAAACTTGTAAAAAATGTCGGGTCACCCTTAGTTATCCATTCATTTTGAAAGGTTTGAACAACAAATCTGCTTGGAAACTCTGTGTATTTAACTAGGTCTTTATACTTCTTTCTCTGGAGAGTAGAAAGGGAGACTACCAATGTCATTATGCAGGGGCCTTGTTCTGGACCTCCACTAACTACATTAGTGCCTTATAACTTTTCAGGTAAGCAACACAGTTCTATGTTTTTGTTTTTACCTGCCTTCTGGAGTCCTGCATCTACAGATGAAGATGGGATCGATTGTTCTTAAGGCACTCTGAAAGTGGTGTTCCTGTTTTCAGAGCCCTATCTCACTCTCAACATCCTTCCTACTTATGTTTCTGAGTCCTTTACTTCTCTTCTTCAAGGAAGATAATCTCCCTCCTCAGCTGTCACCTCTTCTTCAGAGACACTGATGCATCTTATTCCATCCTACCTCTTTGATAACTACTCTCCATCACCTCTGCCTTCTAAAAATTTGTTGAAACTTCTCCAGTGAAGACTCATATACCATTCTCTTTGTATGGAGTTTTTGTTTTTGTTTCTTTGTCCCCATGTTTGACTCCTTTCTTATCATTTTAATAAGATCATGGAAAAGAAAGGAGATGGAATCATGTATTACTTCATCATCTTGAGTCAAAATTACTTTCCTATGTTTAAGGAAAAAATCACATATTTTATTTTGTCATGGTTTTCAGGGGAGGAGGATGTCTTTCTATTTATTTCACTCTACTTACACCTGAAATTTTCATGCTCTTCTCATCTGTTTATTTTTAAACATTTATCTAGGACATCATTAAAAATCATATTACTTTCACTTATTATACATTCAAAGGATATACTCAACTAGATCCATTCAGAATATGATTAACTTTTTTCTAGTTCAAATTGATACTACTTTACTCATATATTTTTCATGTGTTTATAGCAAGTAGAATTGATATATTCCAAATAGGTTTTAACTCAGAATCTTGCTATTCAATATAGATAATGCCATAAAGTCTTCTGAATTATTGGCCTGGTTTTTCAGGTTTAAGGAAATCACAAAGTAATTCACTATACAGGTATAACGATGCCATCACAGTTAGCTTTTTTCACAAGAGGGGGAAAATGTATTCAATTCAGTTTTCATAAAATGCTAGAGATTAGTAAAGTTGTAGCTATCACCGAAGTAATAATGCAAAACATAATGTTATCAGGAATCCTCTTCCTAACTGCAAGGCTTAGTATCTGCCAATTTCAAATTATTTTTATGAGGAGCATATACAGGAAAAAAAAGAACAAAAATAAGCTCCAAGCAAGAATTAGTTTTGTCCTTGATTTCCTTTGAGTATCTGTTCCTTTCCTTCCAAACACATTAGGAACCAACAAGAACTAACTACAAATTTATCAATTCTAAAGATAGGCAGAGGAGGATAGAAGATATATGAAACAAATAGGACCCCCCACCCAAAAAAAATAACAGAAAGGAAAAAGATGGTATAAATGGACAGTAAAGAGGATTTCTTAAAGTTCAACATTTATGGGCAGCCATAAAGCCTTTCACACTGTGTATAATAAATCACTTATAAGTTTTGCTGTTTAAAAAATCTCATAAAAATGCCTAGATTTCTGTTTGGTTTTGGTTTGGGCATTTATGAAGTCCACACTAATCCCAAGGTCTTATTCACAGCTAGGATGATAAAAGTTATGACAGCTTTTTCATGAAGTCATTAGTTTTTCATGATATCTTACATCTCTTTGTCTTTCACAGCATGTGACTTTGGGGTCTGAGGGCTTGAGATTTTGGGGTTTTGTTCCTTGGGTTTTCATGACTGCCCTGCCAACCCCTATTATCTGTACAAGACATTCACCCTTTAAAACTCTACCTGTTTCAGGTGGATTGCAATTGAAGTTTTCATTGTTATAGTCTACAAGGATATCTTTCTCAGGAGCTACTCACTCACCAATACGAATTGAAAATCAGTTGGTGGAGTTCCTTCTGGCTGTTATAAGTTATCCATAGTCCCAGGGCCTGGGGGGGAGGGGAAGGGTTTGCTGGTGATCAGGTAAACAGATCCATGAGCAATTTGTTTAATTTGTCTGACTTTTTTACTTAGAAAAAGCAGCCATGGAATTGGTATAATGATAATGACTTTCCTCATTTATTTATTTCCAGATTGTACAAATCATTTGCCAATTTAAATTTTCACACTTTAGATTTAGAGCATTGAAAAAGTAACTACTCATGGTTTAAATTGTGGTTAAATGCATAGCACCCAATATGAACAATCTTCCATTCAGAATACGAGATATTAATCCCATGGATTTGCTTTGTTTTATGATCCCTTTCTTTGCTCTTGGTATGAGTGTGTGTGTTGGAATTACTGGCCATGTTCACCCGACATGTTTGTGTTGCTCTATTTCAGCATGTGGAAAATTGATGAAAATCACAGGCCCAATTACTATCAAGACATCTGGAACACGATTTGGTGCTTGGATGACAGATCCTTTAGCATCTGAAAAAAATAACAGAGTATGTTACTCCCATAAACACCTTTGTTTAGAATTATGTTTTATTTACCCATTTTCTCCACTGAGCTATTCATTTTCTTCAGGAATATTAGTTCCAACGTGAAAAATGTTGCATTTGTTTGCAAATATTTTCTGTTTGAAAATGTTAATATATCTAAAGATAGAGCAAACCTACTTTAGTAAAACGTTCCATCCTATAATTCAGCTATATAGTAAGACTAATTTTTATTGGTTTGCATCTTGTTTTATTCTTGAAAACGTATAATTATAAGCATACAAAATTTTCTGTATATTCTTTCTAATACCTGTTCTTTTCTATGAAAAGAAAAAAAGCACTAAATAAGTGAAAACCTCAAGAGCCAACCAATTCGCTAAATGGGCTAAAATATCCCTGGAGTATAGAGGTAGTTTTAAAAGAAATAGCACTGAAACTTTTGGGGGGTATTTTCATAAGTTGCCAATGCCTGTATTGTGTAAATCAATATAGTGGAAACTTGTCATAGCTCTATTTATGTTCTATTACAGAACTCAGTATAAATTAAGATTCTCAAGGGTTCCATCCAAACAAGATTAGTTATTAAATTAGTAATATTGTTTCATTAAAAGGTAGTTGTACCTACAAGCTGATCCAATAAACAAGTGTTACTGGAATATTTTGTAGAATCCATAAAGGAGAAATAATTTGAATATGCAAAATTATACCATACATTTTTTTCAGAGCAAAGGATGGAATAAATATAATTTGCTGAAGGTTATATTTTTTGCAGTTATTACTGATGGTATTGATCTATCAGATATGTGATTTGCATTGACATATGTTTGGTTCACTCAGTGATATGCCCTAAATGGTCAAAACTAAAAAACAAAGAAAGAAAAAGCAAAAAGCAAGTTAACATCAAGACAGCAAATTCAGTTATTTCTTTTCCACATAGACAATCAATATTTTTACAAAAGCCTGAAATACGGTCACATTTCAGCAGGTGGGCAGTAAGATAATGTGGCTTCCAGAGCCTGAGAATTATGACATTAATATGTGTTGTCTCTCACTGTCTTTATTTTGGAATTCTCGGAAAAGTACAGAACTTAGTCACTTCATTTTTTTTTCCTTCTTCTCAGGTCTGGTACATGGACAGTTATACTAACAATAAAATTGTCCGTGAGTACAAATCAATTGCAGACTTTGTCAGTGGGGCTGAATCAAGGACATACAACCTCCCTTTCAAGTGGGCAGGAACTAACCATGTTGTCTACAACGGCTCGCTCTATTTTAACAAGTATCAAAGTAATATCATCATCAGATACAGCTTTGATATGGGGAGAGTGCTTGCCCAGAGAAGCCTGGAGTATGCTGGCTTTCACAATGTTTACCCCTACACATGGGGCGGATTCTCTGACATCGACCTAATGGCTGACGAAATAGGACTGTGGGCTGTGTATGCCACCAACCAGAATGCAGGCAATATTGTCATCAGCCAACTTAACCAAGACACCTTGGAGGTGACGAAGAGCTGGAGCACCGGGTACCCCAAGAGAAGTGCAGGGGAATCTTTCATGATCTGTGGGACACTGTATGTCACCAACTCCCACTTAACTGGAGCCAAGGTGTATTATTCCTATTCCACAAAAACCTCCACATACGAGTACACAGACATTCCCTTCCACAACCAATATTTTCACATATCCATGCTTGACTATAATGCAAGAGATAGAGCTCTTTATGCCTGGAACAATGGCCACCAGGTCCTGTTCAATGTTACCCTTTTCCACATCATTAAGACTGAGGATGACACATAGGCAAATGTGATTTGTTTTCATTGATTTAAAGTGTAATTTGTGATAAACTCCATAGGACCCCTTCTGTTTTTTCTTTACTATGACTTTTCATCATTTCTCCAAAGCAAAGCATTTTTTATTGTAAAGGTGGTGTTTCAAAAAACAGCTGAGCTTGTCTAAGTTAACATGTTGGAAACACTTCTTAACTCCTAAATTTACAAGGCCTATCATATTCTTGTCATGAAAAACACTAAAAAGAGTTTAAGTGGCTAAAGTCATAGTTTTGCAAAAGGTTAATGATCTGCCTTATATTAGAGTCAGAGACTAATGGTGGCTTAAATGCATGAATGTCTTTTTTTTTTTTTTGAACGCCGTCATTTTTTACTGTCTTTTGCTCCACATCAGGAAATATTTTGGTAGGAATTAGAAAGAAAAAAAGCGCTTTCCCCCCATTTCTTTCTTTAAAAATATTTAAGGATTTCATTTATATGGAAAAATAATCATTTTGCTGTTAACACAATTCTCTGATGCGGTGCTGTACAGTCATTTTTAAATCTCTTGCTAACGTTTTATTGGCAATATGTATTTCTACCATTGTAACCACCATTGTGCAACTGTATCTCTTCACTTCTGTGAAAGTAAGTAATATTTTTTATAAAATACACTGAAATTTAATCTTAGTAATTATTCGAGTCAATTTTCAAGTGCGGTCAAGAAGGACCTTCTTGGCTTACCCCTTTACATAAGCATTATAAACTAAATAGAAAATCAAACCAGACACCTTACATAGAGTCTTTATTTTACCCCAAGTCTACTGGACCACTAACATTGAAAAGTGATTCAGTACAGCTGAGTTGCCACATTCACTCCACTGAATGCAACCCATATAGTTGCTTGCAGATGATACAGCTGAGTCAAAAAATAGGATTTGAGTTGATTCCACTCATTTGTTATATATCAAACAAATTTTGATTTTTATAATTAAATATATTAGTATTTTAACATAATATTTCATGCACAACTCACAATAGTGTAATCTCTTGTATCAGAACTCTAAAAATATATGAAGCACACATGAAAGCTCGTAAAATAATTTTTTGTTTTGTCCTCTAGGTTTAGATTATGAGCCCTGGAGAGCTATGAGTAAGATTTGTGCAAGCAAAAGAAAGTGATGGGGAGACTTGGGACTTATATGTGTGGTTTCAAAAGTGTAAATAACCATTTCAGAAAACAAGATGGAAAGGTGACTCCTTGTTACTCTGATTCAATGTATATGTAGAAATAATGTAACAAAAAAGAAAAGCTTTAATAACATTTATGTTAATAACTCCACAAAACATATAATCAATCTATATATCAAACATGTCATTGAGTTTAAATGTATTTTCCATATATTAAAAACAGTTCCCTAAGGCAGCTTTATGGAAACTATTATGGATTGGTTTTACAATTTTAAAAGTATATTCCATAATAAATAATATATAACTTAAATTGTTGTAAATGTTTAGTTTCACAAATACATAGTACCACAATTTTCTCTGAAAGATAAAGATAAAATAATTCAGATAAAGCATTGTGTAAAGAAATGCTAATATTTAAGGGTAATTAATTTCAAATGCCACAAGAAAAACATCATACTCAAATATCTCACTGTCAAAATTGTAGGATTAAATAATCTAATCCTGAAATTGTTAAGATTTTAAGAAGTTTTTTTCTTTTTTTTTTTTTTTTTTTGGCCTATGAAAAAAGTTAGCATGGTTTAATGACCACTCTAGGTCCTATTACAATGGTGTCTTCTCTTTTAGAAAGTTTATATAAGTTTTCCTCTGCTATTGAGAGTTGGAAAATTTAGGAGATTCACAAGTCATTGTACACACACCACAGAAATAGTCAGTCAATATTTTGTATATCAAGAGTTTGTTTAAGGAAAGAAAGTCACATCAATTTCAGAAATGAATGAATTTTTAAGTAGATGGCCTGTAATAGATATCTAGGTCTTCATTACTTTATTTTAATGATGTTACATGGTATCACATACATTCAAAATTTGGATGATCACAGCTTATTTGTGAGGTGTGCAGCTTGTAAAGCATTTCATTGTTTTCTCTGTAAGTTTTCATCACCATATCCAATTTATAGTGTATGTGCTGCTAGAGCAAGCATAGATTTTATTATTGTCACTAGATGTGGGGGTAACATGAGTTTAAAAATGTGATCTGCATTAAACATCTACAGTTTAAAAGCATTTTTCTTAATAAATCATCAGTTTGTGCCTGAAATAAATAAGAACTTACTCTAATCACTGTTTTTTTTTTAAATCTCTAACAAATAAAATAAACTTTATGAGGGAAATAATGAGTATTTTTAAATCATCTGCAAAGTCCAAGCAGTAAAGCACTCCAAGCTCAGAAAGTCTTAATCGTAAATGACCTATGTAACTGGTCTTTTATGAATTAACCAGATCATTAACAAACTTTCATGTCACTCAAATAATAATAGGTTCATGGTCTGATTGTGTTTGTGTGTTGTTTGTGTTCATGGCACTTGAATCGTGAAGCTTACTACTTGCACCTAAACTTATATCTATGAGTTCAGAAAATAGCAATATTTCGCTGCATTACCAATATGTAGAGATAAAAGAGAAAATAACAGCAGATGCATTATGTACATGAAATTACGAGTGATTAGTTAAAATATCTCATAAACTCAGAATCTCTGATTCTTGCCTCTATACTCAGAGTCATTTTACCTTTATAATCAGTAATATTCTCTCTGATGAAATCTCATCATCAGAAAGTATTATGAACCTCTGATTCTTATTCCTAATAAGAAACAGATTTTCATATCTGAAAATCACTACCAAACTTATGAGTACAAATTTTTCAACCAGAAAAAATATTTTAAAAATGTAACTATATAAAATTGTGCTTATTTTTATTTCAAAATAAAACCAGTTATTTCCCTAGTAAGGTAAGTTTTACATGTAATTATCTTTTAGTATGATTCTCCTTAAAAAATAAATTATCTTTTTTAAAACAAAACTTTATCCGATGAGTTTAGCAATTGCAGAGTTTCTAAAAGATAAACTTTGTCTAATAGTGTACTTTTGAAAACAGAATAAAAAATGTCATCTTGCTCATTTGATGGGGTACATATGATCATATTCTTTATCCTACTCCATGTGGTAAAGTTCCTGTGACATGATAAGGAATGGACATTTAGAGACAAAGTGTACTTGCCTTCTCCATCATTATATGATAAATGGACCATGAGAAGTGCTACTACAAAGTGATCTACCTAGTACTACAGGCAAGGAGCATGAATTAAAATCTGGATGCTATAGGATGATACGAAACCTTAATCACTGACTGCTTATAGCTATAAACAGTTATTTCTAGAAAAGCCCAGAGTCATTGAATATCATTCATTTCAGCAAGCTGTATCCATACCGAAACCAAGATCAGGGAATGGTTTCTGTTTCTAAAAGTTAACTAAACTCAGCATAAAACTGTTAGCTAATAATTTGTCATTATCGGTAACTTCAGAGAAGGTCTGGGCCTTAATAAAATCTGTTCTTTTGAATTGTTGAAGTTTTACTAGAAAAAATGAAATGTTTTACTAGAAAAAATGCAATGAAAACATTAGCTTATGGAAGAAAAACCAACTTCACTAATTATTTTTCTAAGAAATGATGAATTCAATTCTTGAAAATCTCGTGAGTAAAGAATAGAAAACTATTTGCTCTACTGTTTAGCCAATTAAAAAGAAATGCTTTCCCAAACTGACTTTACCAAACTCATTTATCTGACTCGCATCTTGAAATTATGTTATGCAGTTTATCCCTTTTGGTTGATATATTTCATCAAGCTTAGAGGAATGTTAATTCTATTTGGAGTCTGCCTTGTCTCCAAAATGTCAAACTGATTGGCATAAAACTTATCCCCTTTGGAGCTCAGTTCATCAACTGCCAAATAGGTTTTACGAATATAAATTATTACTAAACATGACTTGAAAATGATATAAGAGAAGGGCATAAAGTTGTACCTTTTCAAGAGTACACAACAACTTCCATGTCTATGATCGTCTTGAAACGTTATTCCTAGTTAGAGATGTGAGGCAATATGGTGAACGTGGAAGAGTTCTCAGGAACATCTTGGTGCTGCAAGAAGTTTGCTGTTAGTCCACACATGTTTGCAGTTCAGTATCAAGCTGCATCCCTACCAAAACTATATCATGCCTGGAAAAGCTTGCACCTATTTTTTAAGTGATTAAAATGTTGCCATAATAGATATCATTTCCTACCACAATTCAGACTTGGAAATGTTATATTTAAGCAGACACTTCCAGAAAATAAATATTATATGAAAAAAGTCTTGAAAATGGAGCAAGAAATGAGTTGAATGAAAGAAACACTGGCCATTTTAAGTTTCAGCATGTTATGAAAGTTTAGCATACTACAGTAATGCATATCCAGCTCGTTGTTTGTCTCTATCATTCTTGACTTCACATGTACTCATACACATTACCAATGGGTAGTTTACAGACTTTATAACTAGATAATGCTGCATTATTAATTCAAAAAATAAATACTAAACACAACTCTATACCACATGACCTTCTAGATGCTAGGGACATAGATGTCAACAGATAAATAAGGTCTTCATACGCTTATATTCTGATGAGAACAGGCTGCAACAATAAAAACAATAATGAGAAATAACTTCTGATTGTATTAATTGTTGTGAAGGAAACAAAAAATCTATGTGATAAAGAGTGATCAGTTGTTTGCTAGGAGAAAGGTTGAGTAGGAGATGATGCTTAGAGGTGATAGTCAAGGGAGGTTTCCCTAAGCAGCAGGCTGCCACGGTAAATTCATTCAAAGAATGGAATGTCACCACCTGATCTGCATAAAAAATTTGAGCTTTTTCTTTCTGTGTCTAGAAATCTATGGACCAAATATTCCTAGTATTTATTGCAGAAGTTTTTGTTTAAACTTGGAGTTCAAGAATATACTTTTGGGGATGGCTGAACCCTCTAAACATTTTTGCTAAATTTAATGTGTATATTTGGTTGTGTATTCTTTCTGGTAGAGGATTTCCAGTTTTCCTCAGATTCTTAAAGAAAGCCATGACCCAAGATACCACTACTATGTCAATTCAATCTATTAATAATTTAAACCCGAATTTATTAAGTATCTTTGTAACAAGCACTGAATGTCTGTTCTCTTTCTTGTGATCCTCAAGAATTTCAATTTGCTTCAGAGAGGAAGGAAATCAACACTTTAGCATTATCAGCAAGGGTTTTTTTTTTTTTTTTTTGTATTTTTTTCCAGAAGAACTAAAACCTCTGATAGAATTTTTTATATTTGGACTGAATTGAGTTATTTTTCTATAATCAAACCTTTCAGGCACATTCTTGCCAGATCCAGTGACCTTAGAGTCTCTATCATGAGAGGCCTGCACTACATCTATTTGAGTCTAGAGAACATTCTCTTTCAATTCTAACACAGCCTTTTGGCAGCACCATAAGGATCTGACTGGAATTGAGCAGATGCCGTGTGTTCCATCAAATCTAACTGTAAACTCTTCTTCAGAAATTACCTACTGCAGCAACACATAAACAGAACAAAAAAAGAAAGGTTTTTTAACACTTGCTTTGTTTTAGAAACTATTGTAGTTGACATGCATATAATCTACAGCTTCAGAAAATTTTTTTAAAGTTTTTTATTAAAAAAACACTCCAGTCACACGTATACAGATAAAGTCATGCTGAGCTGAGAATTGACGCTGTTTCTGTTAGTGATGCTTACTTTGATTTTTCCCCCCGGAAGGACTGAAGAAGATTTACCCATTATTTTCCACTCCAATGTAAAACTAAAAATAATAAAAATAAGTATTTTCATTCTCTCTCTCTGGTGTCTTTATTAAACTCCACTAGAAACTACTCTTGGAATATGAAGTATGCATTGAAAAAGAAATTGAACAATATCTCTCATTATCAGATTTTTATGAAAAGATAATATCTAATCATGGAAATCAATGCCTGTTCCAGGTATTTGTTCTTCGCAATTATCTTCCAACTTGTTCAGTTAGCACTCTGTTTTCAGCTCTCATTCAATCAATTCTCTGATCTCCATCTCTATGCCCAGAATCTGGTGCCTTATTTTGAAATGCTTCTTTTGTTCACTGACCTCTATCCACTCCTGCATAATCAGTTTTTCTTTTTTCTTTGGTCAAGGACCACTTCCATCAGCTATGGCTTTATGGAATGCTTCCTAAGCAAGAAAGCCTTTATTTTCCAAGTCAGACAAAAGAGTGGAGTGTATACTTTCCCTCATCATTTACTTTCAAGATTGACTTCTAACTTCCTTTCATTGCATTTCTGTGCATCTTTCAGAATTCACTTAAAATATCATCTTATCTCTCTGATACATATAAAATAGGCATTCTTTTGTTTTCCCATAGTATTCATTTTATATTGCCAAAAGTATCACATCACATTGCAATGATTTGTTTTCTTCAAGTTAGTGTAGATTCCTCAAGAGTCTGGTCAATGAGTTAATTTTTTTATATGCCAGTCCCTGGCACAGTGTCTGATGTGGAATAACATCACAGTAAATGTTGATAACCAAAGAAGTACAAGGTTAAGTAATTCCCTTACCGTGTCTAAAAACATTTAAATCTTTGTTCCAT